GCATTTGAATCCCCCAAAGACTGAGGAGGGGGCACCCTGAGCTTGCATGCAGTTCCCTCATATTGCACAAAGTAAAATACAATGTCCAGAGCCCCCATGGGAGAACCCATTCTGTGTTGAAGCTGTCAATCACATGCATTTTGAAATTGTCATATGGCTTAACCTTTTTGCAATGGACTCCATTCTTAGTCACTCTGGGTGACTTCCTTTACTATGGCGTGTGAAGTGACCTTTTCTACCTTTTTAGTTGACACTAGTTTCTCCTCAAAGGTCTCTTCATGCTCTTCGACCTTTTGAGTGACGGTTACGGATTTAGTGATGTATTTGGTAGCACCATCGCCTCCCTCACTGGTGATCTTTTCTATCGTTTTGGTCACCACCACATCGCTTCTGTCACCCCCCTTCCTCTCCTCTGCTGGGCTCACGTCTAACCCGTTAGTGACCACGCCTTTCTCCTCTTCCCGCCCGCTGCCAATTTCCTTGGTTTCCTGTTCCTCCTCCTCTTTCCCTTCCACCTCCCCATTGACAGCTATGTCCTCCTTCCTGGATCCCTTGGGGACCTGACCACTCCCTTCCTCCTCCCTCACTCCCTCTTCTTCTGGCTTCTCTTTTTTCTCCTTCTCCTTCGGCTTCTCCTCTTCTTTGGCTTCCTTCTCCACACTCACCTTTCCTGGTTTGGTGGCCACGTCCTCCACAGCTTTCTCCTTCACCGGGGACTCAGCTTTCTCCTTCACTGGGGACTCAGCTTTCTCCTTCACTGGGGACTCAGCTTTCTTCTTCTCCGGCACATCTTTTGGCTTCTCCTCCTTCTTCTCCACTTTCTCTTCCTTGGGAGATTCCTTGGCAACTTCTTTCTTTTCCTCCTCCACCTTCTCTTCTTCTTTCTGCTCACCTTTCCCTGCCACAGCTTCGGCTTTCGGCTTCACCTCTTCCACGGGTGACTTCGGGGCAGGGGACTTGGCTTTCTCTGGCTTTCCTGCCTTGGCTTCTGCCACCAGCTCCTCCTTGGAAGCCAGCTCTTCACTTTTCTTCTCCTCTTTAGCTTCTGCTTCTTCTCCTTCCCCTTCCACCTCTACTTCTCCTTCCTCTTCCTGCTCACCTTCATCCTTTTCACTCGAGCCTTCCTTCTCAGATCCTCCCTCTTCAGCTTGGTCAGACTTAACCCCTTCATCTTCCTCTTCTTCTTCCTCCTGGCCTTCTTCCTCCTTTTCCTCTTCTTCCTCTCCTTTAATTTCAGGCGCAGTAGCTTTCACTGGGGACTCTTTGGCAGCCACCACTTCTTCTTCAGCTTCTTTTTCCTCTTTCTTTTCTTCTGCCTCTTCTCCCTTCTCTTCTTTTGCAGAAACAGCCAACTCCTCTGCAATGGCTGTCAGGGCATCTTCCATTTCCGACTTCTCATCCTCCACTTTGGTTTCTTCTATGATCTCTTCGACAAATTTGTGTTGCACCTTTAGCTTGGGGGCCTCCACTTTGGTTTTCTGAATTTTACTGGATATTGTGACTGAGGGCTGTCGGTGTGTATATATCGGCCCAGTGATGCTTCCTGCAAATGTGCTAAACCTGGTCTCTTCACCCTCCAGGAGTTTCCTAAGAGGGAATCAAAGAAGAAGAGACATAATTAAAATCCCACTGGGCCTCATTACACTATGGGGGATGTAATGGCTACTTGTAGATAAATAGAATCACATAAGGAAAATATTCTGCCAAGCCAGTGTAGTGCCTACTATCATTTCATGGATATGTTGTGTCATATTCAGTGATGGAGACAGACTCTCCTGGACTTCTGTGTTAACTGTTCACTCCCAGCAATCAGCCAACCACACCCAGCCACGAAGCTTACTCTGCAGCTGCGATGAATTTGGTGCAGTATGAATTTGCTGAAAAACTCTCTCATGGCCAAAACACCTCCACAGCAAACAAAACAAAACAAAACTCCCCCCAACAAAAACAAAAGGGGTCTTCTGGAGTATTTGGACTGTCAGGATATACACTGTTACTTAAAAGCAAATATAATGTTCAGAAAATTTTACAAAAGTATTAAGTGTACTTTGGGTGGCCTGTATCAAGTTATAGACAGGTGCTAGTAATTTATGTATCATTACAAATTGGTCTGCAATTTTAATAATAAAATATCTACTCACTATGTAGCTTCCCTGACAAAGGAGAATGCAACTTATTCTTGCTATAATGACCTATTGGTAGTGGAAAACTGCGAAATTTAGAATTTTGTACTTTGAATTCAGTCAAAGTAGTATCAGGAAACAGGATCTCTTTCTCCTTCTTAAAGAGATCATACCTATAAGTGTCTGTATATTTAGTTGTACATTTAGTGTATGTTTCTATGCACTAATGTTACTGTAGATGTAGCTACCGAGAGGTAAGCAGCACACATGACCTATACCTAGGCGTGTCATCCACCCTGTAGTCTAATATACTACATCTGCATTAACTCCATATGTGGAATACCTATATGTATGTTCTAAGTATTTATTCTTAGCCACATGATGGCAATAGCAAGCTATTATAGAGAAAAAGGATGTACTGGTGTTTGTCCTTGACATTATAATCTTGCTAAATCCAGCAGGGATAACATTAAAAATAACAACTTTTTGTGTGCTTTGAGCATTCAAAAATATTTGTCACTAAAAAAGTTAAAGCATAAACTAAGACCTCAGTCGGTGCCCTTCCCTCAATAGCTACAACTTTATGTATAAAAGTGATCAAAACACATTTGCTATCCTTGAGAATGTTTTCTTCTTCACTAGTTAAGGAAAGCAGGCGCTGATCTCAGACCCTGGTGACCTGTCCACTCTCACTCAGGGCCGGTCTCCGCCTGAGCTGCCTCCGCAGTGCGGGAGCCTTCAGGCCACGCCGCCCTCTGCGGTACCTGTACGCAGCGATCTCGATGTCCAGGGCCATCTTGACGTTGAGCAGATCCTGGTACTCTCGCAGATGACGAGCCATCTCCCACTTGGTTCCCCGAAGCTCATTTTCCAACTGCTGGATGGTGTCCTAGAACAGAGAAGCTCGGTAGACTCCTTGGGGCAGGCACTTCCTTCTCGAGCCCTTTGCTACGCCCTGACCCCCCCCCCCAAGTCCCCGTCCCCTGCCCCCTTCAGGGCGTTGAAAACCTAGCAGCCCACTCGTTTTCCCCTTTTAAAGCTACAGGGGGTCGCAGACAAAGTCACTAAGACATTTCAGAGGCACAACGCACACTGAGGCCAGCGAACTTGGCGTCTCAAAGGGAACAAAAGCGCACTGGGGAAACCCCTAGGCGGACCTGGGCTTCCCTCCCTTTGGGATTGATGCGGATTGTGAGATCTCCTGTAATCACTGCTGGGAAAGGGGATGCCTGTGTCTCTACATAAACTATCCTAACCTTGTTTATCAACTATCGTTTAAGCGCATAAATGTGCAAAACTAAACCGACCGAGAAGTGGCACTCTTTTGCAAAAGGTCAGGAATCGCGGGCAGCTGGGGCAGGTGGACAGTGCAAGAGCGTGGAGGAAAAGCGCCAAGAAGACGCTCGCTGCGGCTAAGTTGAGTTTGCGCCTTGGCCAGCGGCCACCAGGGAGCGCGACGGAGAGGGCGCTCGGGCGCGCGCGGGAGCGTCGGGGGCGCGCGGCGCTGGCGCTGGCGCAGGCTGGCCGCGCAGCCGCGGTGCCTACCTGGTAGCTGCTGAGATCGTGGTTGTGGCGCTCCTCGATGTCGCTGAGCTGCCGCTCCAGGGACTCCTTGGTGCCGCGCACCGACTCGAGCTCGATGCTCTTGGACTGCAGCTGGCGCCGGTACTCGGCGATCTCTTCCTTGGCGGAGCGGATGGCCTCCTTGTTCTGCTCGGCCGCCTCGGTAAGCTTGGCGTAGCGGCATTTGAACCACTCTTCGGCTTGGTGCATGTTCTGGTCGGAGTGACACTCGAGCTGCGAGCGGATCTCCTTCAGCGCGGTCGAGATGTCGGTCTTCAGGTAGTCTTTGCGCTCCACCGTGATGTGCGACGCCTGGATCTGGGCCAGCAGGTCCGCCACCTCCTCCTCGTGATTGCTCCGCAGGAAGGCCACTTCATCCTGCAGCGACTGCACCTTCTTGTCCAGCTCCACTTTGACTAGCGACGACTCTTCGATGTCCTTGCGCAGCGCGCGGATGGCCGCCTCGGTGTCGTCGCGCAGCCGGGCCTCCTCCTCGAATCGCTCCTTGAGCCGGTGGATGTCCTCCTCCAGGTGATCGGAGTCCAGCTGCACCTGAGCCTTCTCGTGGTTCACCAGCTCGAGGGTGGCCCGCAGCTCGCGGATCTCTTGGTCGTACGCGTCGCCCAGCTGGGCGTGCGAGGCCTGCTTCTGCCGCAGCGCCTGGATCTCCGCCTCGATCTCCTTGTTCTGCTGCTCCAGGAAGTGCACTTTCTCGATGTAGCCCGCGAAGCGGTCGTTCAGCCCCTGCAGCTGCTCCTTCTCGTTGGAGCGGGACAGCTTGTAGTCGCCGCCCGAGCCGCCGTTGAGCAGGGACGAGGACTGGCTGAAGTCGAGGCTGCTCTCGGCCGAGCTGAGCATGGCCGAGCTGTAGGCGAGGCGCGGGGCGAGCGCGCTGCGCTTGTAGGAGGAGGACACGGTGCTGGGCGAGCCGCGGGACCACGACTGCGAGCGGAAGCCGCTGGACGGGGAGCCGCTGACCCGGCTGAAGCTGGAGCGGGTCTCGGTTATCCGCCGGTAGGCGGACGGGTTGCCCAGCGGGTCCAACGTGTAGCTCATCTTGGAGGCCTTGGGGTGTGTGGCTGTCACAGCGATCTGCCGGCCTCGCCGCAGCCCATTTATAGCCGCGGAGCTGGGCCGGGACCAGGGCCCCGCCCCGTGGAGGCGGCGGCCGGGAAGGCGGGGACTGCGGGCCCGGGCCGGGAGAGGGGGAGGCGGCGCGGCGGTGATTCAGCTCCCGCTCCACGTGGGCCGGCGCCGCAGCGCACCCCGCACTTGGCCGCCCCGTCCCAGCCCCTCCCCCAGCTTCCCTTTTAGCCCCAGACCCCTCGGCGCCCCGCGATTCCCCTCTCTCCACCCTTCACCTTCAGATCGTAGTTTGCGTCCCGGGTGCGAATAGCTCCCCACCGCCCTTTCTTTGTTAGCCGCTCCCTTGCTTTGGGCAGCTCCTTCTCGGGCCCCCGGCTCCCTTGTTTTTCCAGCTGTCCACTCCATAGCCTGCTGTGAAGCCCGTTACTTTTTGCTTTATCCATCTTGGTGCGTTCTCACTTGCCCGTCCCTGGGCCCTCTCCTTCCCTTTCTTCCAGAGCTCTTTAGTTCCACTCACCACGCCCTTCCCCCAAGTCCCGTCCTCCGGACCTTTGCCTTCCAGTCTTTTCTTTCTTCCCCCTTCTCTCTCCTCCCCATCTTCATCTTTCTTTGCCTCCTTTCCTCCCCCCCCCCATGTTTTAAAGCCGCCAGAGCTGAGCGCAGAGGAGTTGTGTCTTGAAGAAGAAAAGACTTTGAGGAACGCTCGGCCTGATCGCTTCAGGAAGGGGACAAAGAGGACAGGCCGGGGTAGTCACTTGTATTAAAAGTGGGATATGGTGCAACATTCTGCTTAACGTTTGGGGGACGTCTGCGCTTCCGCAGGGGCAGAAGGTAAGGCGCTGGTGCTCGCACGGCGTCAGCAGCACCAAGGACAGCGCCCAGACCCGCAGGAGTCCCTGGAGGTGGGCTTCCGCCCGGCCTCGCCCTTCAGCTTGGCAGGGGGAGGGGGCTCCCTGCCCCATCTCTCCCGGAGTAAAGATAAGTGAAGCTTGCTTGCAGCGGCTCTCTTTGCAGGAGCCAAGCTGGAATCCCACGCTAGGGCTTCTCTGCAATGCAGAGTTGGCACAATGCACAGACTGCAGATTTTGAAGAGATGAAATTCATGAAAGTCAGTTAACAGAAATCTAGTCTGGAAGCGCAGTATGAATTTTCTAATATATGGTGGATGCAGGGACTCCGGAGACACAAGGCCTGGAATTTGAAGGTCAAATATTCCTTGAGAAGAAATTTTGAAATCTGTAGAGAGCAAATATCCAGGGAAATAGTTTATAACAAGTTTGAAAACAAATTGCTATTATCTGCTGGCTCAGTACTTTTTATGAGTCAGTGCAGTGATTAAAAGGGCACTCGAATTAATTTTAAGTGAATCTAAAATTTGCCTAACAGTCTCATTACAGCCTTAAATAAAGCAAGATGGTTTTGTCCTCCGTTGTGGATTTTAGTAACTGATTTGGGATACATGTGCCTTGTTTTTCAACATGTTACTTCCATAAGGACTTTACACAAACTTCTTTCTGCACGGTGCATCCCTAATTGTTAAATGTCCTTTTTATTCTGGGTAGTGCTTTTGGGGGTAATTCAGGGTTAAAAAGGTTCAGCATACTGCAAGAGCAAATGAGGGACAGATGCAGGACTGATGAAGATGCTGGGGCCACACATCCAAGTGACTGAGTGTGAAGGAATCACTGTAAAAAGAAGAGACCCTGGACTCAACTGGCTTCTTTTCACAGCAAGCTTTATAGTAGAGTCCTTTAAATGACAGAGTTGTATTGATCAGTAAATTAATCAGAAAAGGATTGGGTTTCCAGGGGGCTTTATTTAAAACTTTTCTCAGCTCCCTTGGCCCATCTGTGTTAAAATGTTAAAATAGAAATAATATTTTAAGGACAAGGCGTTAATTTAGGGAATGACTTTTATTTCGCTAATTTAAGACTGCAGCATTGCAGGCTGCATAGGAGACTCCTGCTCTAGTGTGCTGAGAGATGGCTTTCAGGCAAGGAGAATGATGTCTTAAGTTGCTAAGAGAGACAGATGACAGTTGGGGGACTGAGTTGTGAATACAGTAAAAAATTTGACTTTCTGTTTTCATATGGACAGATAAAGAAAAAAGCACATTAAAACTCTCTGCTTCTGTAAAGTACCAGATCTCAGGTTTAGCTTCAGCCGGGTGCTGCTAGATAGTGCTACACGCTAATTATGAAGTAGTTTTTGCCTTAGTTATGTATCACTTCCTGTTTCTATTAAAATACATACAAATCTTTGGCAATTCCTTCTGCACATTTCTGCAAGGAGAGCACATGGTTAACAGGCAGGCTTCAGCTGTTAGTTTTCTTTAGGGCTTTGGCAATGAGATGACTTTGCAGAGAGACATTTACCAGGAAACACATGTCTAATTTCACAATTAGCCTGTTTTGCCTTGTATCTAAACTAGCTCAAAAACTGTTAAGCTTCCAACTGGTTACAGAGGGAGGAGAGAGTTGTGTACAAATAAAATCACAGCTAATTACTCAGGCTAAATCTAGTGTGTACAGCTTAAATTTTAGTATCAGTGTTATTCAAAGTATTGCTTATTCTGGGCCCTACAGTGTAATGTGTGGAATTATAACAGACACTTTATTAAGGATAAAACATTTCTGGGGTTTAAGAAATGATGGATCCAGGTTTTTATTTAGCAGAGTGTTTCCTTTTATATTAGATTCTTGCTTTGGCATTTCTGAAGGTGATTTGAAGGTTATACTCATCAGTGAATTTGTATGAAAACTTTTTCCAAGAAAAGCTGTAGCAGAATTCTTCTTCTTCTTCTTCTTTTTTTTGCTCATGTTTTCAAAAGCATTTACCACCTTAACATTGTATACAGACAGAAATGTTTTTGTACTTTTTAAAGACCTAATGGCACTAAGGCTATGAAATCCTCTTAAAATATTAATAAGAGAAAATAAACATGGAAATGTATCTGAGTTTATGACACTATTGAGGGAGTTGAATTTACTGTAATATTTCTGTAAGCTATTCTAAATAGGGCAGCTGTACATAAGACTTAGAAGTAAGGGGTTTAATGAAATTGTCTCTGGATTGTTGTTTCATAAGCTATTGTCCGTTTGAATCACTTTCTAGAAAAGTACAGAGCATGTTCCATTCCATAAGATCCTTTGGTAGGAAAAGAGCCAATGCTAGATTTTGAGTTAAGAGATTGCCACTGTGAGGTCCTCTTAAGGTCTATGTAATGGTAAATGGTGAAATATTTTTTGCATAAGAAGTTTATTATTGGATAAAAAAATAAAGATAAAAACAAGGCATTCTCTCTCTTGGTTCCTTGTATTTCTCCTTTCAGTTTTAGTGCCTGTGCTGCCCAAGTGAGCATAGTATATTTCTTCTTTTAAAGAAAAAAAGTACACATTTTGCAAGGAGGATGGTATGTGCGAATGCAGTAGCAAGCCAGAGACTCAGAAGGGAGGCTGCCGCTGTAGATCTGTAGGCTACATCGAGCCAAGACGTGATGATCTGTCCTTTTGCCCAGCCTTCTGTGACGTCTTGAGTCTGGTCCTTTTGCTTGGGATCTGACTCTAAAACTCATGATAAATAATTATTTATACGTTGACTTTGGTTATTTATTTAAAGTGTTATTGTTGTAGAAGATTAGGAGTTTGGTTTGCTGCAATGGAAACATAAGGAAAAAGAAAACTCCAGTACTTTTTTGTGCTCCAACCTTGGGGTGTTAAACTTTAGGAGCAGATGTGGCTTTTCTTGTTTGTTCTTGTTTCAGATGCTGAAAGCAAAATAAAAGTACCCTCAGGGTAAAAAGGCTGTTTCTTGCTGGGAACATTGGGACATGAATATATGTCCCTATTGTTTTTAATTAAAGCAAATTCATCTGGAGCAGTGTCGCTTTTCTGACACTGAGCCATCAAAATAGAATCTGTTTCTGTTGACAAATATTCTTTGCATTGAGTATTGCTTCATATTGCTGTCAGTGGTGGCTTTTGTGCAGTTAATTATGATGGCTTTTATGAAATTAATTAAAATATTTATAAAACTTAGTATATTTCATCTTTATGTGTTCCAAATACTAACTTGAACAGTTTTGAATCTCTCTGTCTGGAAATTTCATGTTTTACGGGGAAACGTGTAGCTTCTCAGCCTTAACATAGCTCGCTGATTTTTTGCTGTGTAATCCTTTCACCAGTGACTCAGTTCTGTGAGAGTCAGAGGAGAAACACTTAGAATTTTAAAAAGGTAATAGAGCCTTGCTAACAGTGATTCTAAAAATAAAACTCCGTAGATGCATTTAAAATACTGCTGTATTAATTTTGAGCATGTTTTTAATTGATCATGTTGGCTTTACTTCTAAAGTGGCAGCGTTTAGTATGTTGAGTACTTGAATTTTTAAAACTGCACAGCACATGTACCAATTCAGCCCCCTAACAGTTACTGCAGATCTCATTCCTAGCTTACCAGGGCCTGACTTAGCAAGAGACATCATTCTTGTATTAGAGACTCTTAATTAAAGTGAGCTTTGTTAAGCTGCTGCAGATCAAGGATCTAATACCCTTGGATTGAATATCTGAAAAGAATTAAACCCAAGGACATAAAGGGGAAAAGTCCCACCTAATAATTAAGTGCCACTGTCCGAGGCCTGGGTTCTTTTTACACAGCCTTGGCAATTCTGAAAAGCAGTGCTTTTTCTCAGTCCTCTGAAAATGGTCCCATCATCAGAGCTTGTTCCTCTCCCTTGCATTGCCAAACTTTATTTATTTTAGGGTATTTTTAGGGGATAAATTCACAAAATGCAGAGAGACAGTAATTTATGTGTTCTAGATTTTATCTCTGCAATTTAAATATAGAGAGGATCTTTCTGTTTATGAAATTCCATGCCCCATTTTGTAAACTCAATGTGTCTGAGTGTGCTATGTGCTAACTTTAGAAGCAGGAAGGTGGTACTGTATACCACGAGGTCTGGGTTCTACCTAGGTATTTTGCTTGAATTTTCTACTTTAAAGAAGATTTTTAAAGTCCCTTTCAATGAAGACCAATAAAATAATAATGATGCTAATAGTAATAATAGATCAAGGAAGCCTAATTGGGTGTGAGACTAACTTCTGTCCCTTTTCCTGTTTGCCTCTCTCTCCTGGGTAACTGAACCGAAAGCCATTACGAAGCTGAAGATCAAGGTATGACTCACACTGTGCCTGTGGGAGGCGGCAACTTGTAACTGGGCTGAAATACTATTGATAACGGCACCCTGAATCCCCAAGCTGTCATTGTCATTACTACCATCAGAGTTCTGCATGCGAGCAATGCTTTATATCAGAGTCATAAAACAAAAACAGAAGCAGACCAAACTATGTTGTTGTCTTCTAGCCTGAGGACCGAGAAGAGACTGGGGAGGGCACAAGTTATTATTATTCTTAGTTTACGGTGGATTAAGTTGCTTCAGAGATTTCTCCAAGACCATCCATCTGGTAAGTTGGTAGCGTTGGGACCAGGATTCAGAGCTTCTGAAACAAGTGCTAGCATTAAAATTTCCTTTAGTAGTGTATTAAACATAGTCTCAATCAGCATGAAAAAATTAAGAGGAGGAGCTACATAATAGCAATATCAATAATCAAATCAATAACTTAATTAAGTTCTTATCATACTGTGGGTGCTGTGCCAAAGGAAGCTGATCTCCTTTAACCATTATGACAAGTTTTGGAGGTGACGGCATCACCATCCTCACTGTATAGAAGAAAGAGCAGCTGCAGTGGCTCAGAGAGGTCTAGCACACACACAGCTGGAGGGAGAGGCATGGAGGCAAAGGAATCTAGGAGTCTGATTGTGGTGAGTGGCCCTCACAGCTGTCATCAGGAGGCTGCACTGTCCGTCATAGACAAAATGTCATTTAGAGGCTCGTGGTTTAACTACTATTAGGTCACACTAAAAAGCTGACTACCATGCACGCTTTTGCTGCTTTCCCCCAACTATTTACATAAAAACCAAACATTTAAAACTCTCAGATGAATTTTTTTCCTTTGACTGCAACTTTGTTAAAGGCAATAAGGGCAAAATCTTTCAATTCCTTGTCTGTTACATTTTATCTTACGTTGAACTTCTATGTCACTTGAAGGGCATCTAATTCAGTCATTGTTGTCCATGCCTTATGAATAATGCCCTTAATCATGTGTCTATGATCTTATCTGGGGTCTACTTTTCACTCACATTTATGGGTACTCTTTAGGTTTTAGGAGATTTTCATTTGTACTACAGATCAATTTATCATCCTATCATTTATTCACTAATATATCTATCTATTTAAATACACATAATTTTGAAGGAAAATCTCATAATCATTTGTTTGTATTTTTTTCTGCAGATGTCTAACTATTTAAACTAAATCTAATTTGAGAGACCCTGGCTAGTAAGAAGCTTTTGAATCTTGGCCACAGCAGGAGCTTGGCCCACAGTCTTCATTAGCAAAGGTTTACCATGTGGTCGTTGGCAAGAAGGCAGCTTTCAAAATCCACTAGAACAGTAGAGGGACAGATAGGAAGCATCTTAAGTGAATCTCTTGGTCATCTACTTTATTAACTAAAGCCAGAGTTACGTGCTTGTTCTTATATAGGTTGCTTGGAGACAAGTCAGCCTCAGACCTAGAGCTGTTATTTATGAGATAAAGATCTCTGACTCAACCCTATTTTCATTTGTATAAATCTGCTTCAGTGTCTGCATTCTCGGATGGGGTCAAGGAAGAGAATCGTTTCTCATTTTTCTTTTTGTAAAGTTGACCTTGAAAAGAAGAGACGTGTACCCGGTATTAGTCATGGTAGCAATCAGCTCCTGGGTTTGGATTGCATACGTTATTAGAACTGGATGTCTAATGATGAAATTCCTTCTCCAGCCAGTGTGACTCATTTAGTATAATTGGTTATGTTTCCTCCTGCTTCCTGGTACTGTGCATGGCTCCTTCTTTCTCTGGTGCTCAGTGTATCCTGGAAACCTGTTGTTCTTGTTTCCTAAGGGTTAGGCAGTGGGGTGACACTCTCACCTTGAGGTGCAGCTACTGGAGTTTTGCTGAGGACCCCATATCACAGCAGAGAAAGCATCTACATCTGATTTCCCAGACTCATTAACCCTTTGGTGAGCATTTAGAGACCCGATGGAGAGGCAAGAATTCACCTGGGGTAAAAGAGAGGCAAATTGATGTACTTTTGCTCACCAGGTTTGGCAGTAAAAATGTTAGCATGAAAGTTACAAACCTGCTCAGTCAGAATGGTGTTGAATGCTTCCTTTCAGGCAACTGGTTTAATGCAAGGTAAAAGAAAATTTTATTTCCCCATGTACCCAGGCAGGCGGATGATCCTAAGTGGATGCTCCAACGTTCTCCCTGTTTCTCACACACAGACATAACAAGAAAGAGAACATACATTGCCAGGTAGTAGGTAGTACCTATCATCATTCAAGGCAAATCACTCTAAATTTGCTTTCTTTTTGACTTCCTTTCCTCCTTTTGCTGGAAGTACATGCCGAGTGAGAATGAATGAAACACGCAACTTTGGGAACCTGCGTTCTTCCTTGAATACACTTTACATATTTCACTTCAGGGCTACTGGTGATGCTGCCAAAGGACAAAGGAGAAATCCCACCAGTGTGGATGGAGAGGAAGCCTCTCACAGGAAGTGGCAGCAACCTGCGATTTACCCACAAACCTGGAGCCTCTGGATCCCTGGATTCAAGCCCCAGTGAAGCCAGTCTCCACTTCTCCAGCTGTGTGAACTGGGACACAGCCATCTGTTTCCCCATGTGTTAGAGTGGGGGTGATCTGAGTCTCTCTCATGGACTTGTCTTAGAAGAGTGCTCAATAAATGATAGCTATTATTATTAGAGTTTTGTTTTCTCTGTGTTTAGGTTTTTAACAGTGTAGAATGTATTTATTGAGCTCATGCTGAATACTGGTCACATTTATGTATCTCTTCTGAGATTCTCTTGTTTTCTTTCTTTCTTTCTTTCTTTCTTTCTTTCTTTTCTATCTTTCTTTCTTTTCCCTCTCTTCCTTCCTTCCTTCTCTCTCTCTCTCTCTCTCTCTCTCTCTCTCTCTCTCTCTCTCTGTCTGTCTCTTTTTTCTCTTTCTTTCTTTGAGTGAACTGGGCATAGTGGTGCCTTAAAACTTTAATCCCAGCACTCTGGGAGTCCAGCCTCAATAACTCGGTGAGACTTTGTCTCAAAAACTAAAACATAAAAAGAACTGAGCATGTAGCTCAGAGGGAAGGTTCTAGGTTCAATCCTCAATACCATAAAACCAAAACAAACAAAACAAGATAAACAAACAAGAGACCGAGACACAGAGAACTAAAATACCTGCTTGAGGACCCTTAGGTAGTAAGAAGGGCTCTGTCCCAAGTCAAGTGTTCTCTTCTCCACAAATTGGCGTCTAAGAATATTTTAAAAATAACCATTAATTATAATTGCCTTGTTAACATAACACTTGTATTCTTACCTATTTAAGTGTTTCAGTTCGTGTCTTTCATATTTTTTATTTATAGGAAGTTCCTATCAATAGCTGAAAATCAGAGGGAAATTATAAATACATTTCAGCAAAAATAGTGTAGGAGTGCAAACAGTTATTTATCACAGCATGCTTCATATTAAAATATCTGACAGACAGCTTATTATTTTTCTTGACAAACTGCTAAGGCTCCAGAAAAGGATCAGAAAGTTCTCTCTCCCAATGTCATTTGTCTGAAATACCAGTTGTCAGAACACTCAGAAACCTCTAGTGCTTGCTAAAGCTTTCTTTCTTAAAAAAAAAAAAAAGTTTATAATCAGAAAAATACTGTAATGGGCAAATCTGAATGCAAATTTCTTCCTTTGAAATTACATTAAGGGTGTAAATTACCTTGAGTGGCAAACATTTCTTTCCTGGATTCCGTATGCAGTGCTGCAATTACATCTTCCAGGGCTCCTTGAAATCTTTCAATGGCAACAAATGCGGAATGGCAATAATTACGAAAACCACTTGTGGTATGAAGTTTAATTTAAGATCCAGGATCGTGATTCTATATTTGAAATACAAAATCCAAATCCAACCCTGCCATACTTTCACCAGCACCTCAGGCCAAACAGTTCTTTTGTTGGCTGATTCACAAATCTGAAGTGACAGCACCAGCAGGTCACGCGACCTTGGGCTGCCCTTGGCTTTAGTTTGCTTATCTGCCACATGCGTGTAATACCTGCTCTGTCTAAATAAGAGGACTTTGCCAAAGAACATGTGAGGTTTTGCATTAGCTAGATGAAAAGACTAAGGTGATTTAACAAGGGACACAACATTTCAGCGGCTGAGAGAACACATTGGCTTATTTCTCTTTCCTATACCAATGCTGAGGTTGAAGCAGTCTGCTCTGATCTACGTTATCATTTTGGGGTTCTAGAGTCCTTGCTATGTATGCGTGAAGGCGATCATTTCATCTCCTTGTTCAGAATTGAATTTCATGTTCCAACAAACAGGAAAAGGAGAAAGCACACAGGTTCTTTTCAAGTCCAGGCTTGGAAAGCACAGGTCATTTCTCTTTACCTGCCACTGGCAGCAGCAGTGTAGAAAAGGTCAAGTGATTGCAAGGGGAGGCTGGAGGTGTAGTCTGTGGCTAAGCAGCACAGGCCCAGCTGCAACTTTCTTATCATCCAGGAAGGAGAGAATAATAGATTTGAATAAGTAAATATGTCTGTCCTAAGGACGCAACAGCTGGGGTACTCCTAACGTGAAAGTAAGCTAGTATTATTTGAACTTCTTCAAGAGCTGTGTGCACACCTTATTTTACTATCTTCATAGATCTGTAAGGTAGACAGCAGTATGGCACAAAAGAAAACAGAGCTGCAAAGATTTAGCCAATTCCAAAGGACTTTGAATGGCGCAGTTGGGATTGGAAACACATCTACTCCAGCAGAGTGCAAAGAGAAGAGATGAATGGATTGACTGGGTCAACGGGCACCGTTATTTGAATTCTGGTACCATGGCTCTCTGTCTTTTCTCAATGAGTCATCTGTTCCTTGCCTTCTATCCCAAAGCTGTCCCCACACCACAGCTCCTTTTCCACCTCCTCGTGAAGACTGCATGGCCTCCTCTGAGCTCCTGTTTCTTAGGTTCCCTCAGAACTAGGTATGCGTGAGTTAGTGGTTATCCTGGCTTCTTTTGTTTTATACTGTGCTTCTGAATAGGTCTTGTTCCTGCAACGGGACTTAGGTTACTTAAAGACAAAGACCTCTTTGCAATGCTAATTTACCTTCTTTTAATTCTCTCCCTCTGCCAGTGTGCAGAACAGTAGCAAGTAACACAGATGCTTCTAAGACATAAATGGAGTCTCAGCTAGGATTTCCTAGACCCAGGAAAGCAGAGGATTTCTGTTTTGTCTTTGCTATTCAATGGCAGTTTGGTTGGCTTTGCTTACGTGTAGGTTTGGGCCTTTGCATCTCCTGGTCAGAACCCTTCTGCGACATTCACATGTGAACTCCTTTCTCAGCCTAGAAGGAAGGTCGAGCAAGGTCAGAGCACTCACAAAATTCAGGAGTTGTGGCCTTTCAGGTGTGTGGCTCCCCTGAACTGATAGCAGTGAAACTTTTGATGCTTCTCCATCTTTCTGTCTGTTTCCCATTGTTTATGAAGACTGTTCATAGCCATATCAGTCTGTAAACTACACTTTAAGTGGGAAGGATGATGGAATAATTATGCATTTTAGCATTTCATATGTGTAGCCAATGGCCAATCAATGTGGACAATCAAGTGGTGAACAGTAAAAGAAGGGGAGAAAAAGTGATTCTTTTTTCTGTTGACCACTTCCCACCAATATGTAGAAAACAGTCAGTTTTGGCCTTTTGGGCACAAGGGAATATCCTTGCCGAGATGCTGCATGTGCCACATCCGGGTGTTACGGACACTCATCAGCTTCATCCCGTCCTTTTGATTTTACTTGCTTCTGAGCTTCAGGGAAAATCATACACAGAATCTACTTTTTGCTAATTTGCATAGAGAAGGAAAAAAGGAAGAAAGTCCTTTAGCGACTGTTGATGTTTTGGGGACATTGTGAGGAATCTGAAACTCTGGCTTGAGAGTCCTTACAGGAGGACCACCCTTCCAAATTGGAGATTCCTGCCAAGGAGGCTCCTGGTCCTTCCCGGATGGCAGGTTCGGTTGTGATGGGTTCAGCTCACAAGTGTCTGAGAAACTAAAGAGTGGTATTCAGTGTCTTGGGGGATTTCTTCTTAGCTTGAAACTCAGTTATTTTAGAAAAATGTGCGTGGGTTCTTGTTAGACAGGTAGTAAAAATAGCAAATGTGCCTCATGTCATTTAAAACAATCAAGCATTTATATCACACTTTGTATTTCCAAAGTGATTTGGAAGTGCTTAGATTTGTTGTCAGTGACAATGATTGTGTGAATCATAATTATAAAGTGTTTTAACTCTACTTTGGGTGAGTAAGAGAGAGAATCTATGTGCTAGCTAGCAGGGATGTGAAACATCTTTAGGTCTTGGTTTCTGTTAGACTTTGATTGTCACTGCTTCTTCGAGGGAAGAAAATGGAGTCTGAAGAAGGAAAAGAGGAATGGACAAAATCTAGGTGTAGTGGCTGCAAAATAATTCTAAGTAGGTGGAAATTCACTTGCTGTAAAAAATCCTGTAAGTGGAGGGTCCACATTTGAATTAAAATAAAACTTTTTATAAAGTGAATAAAAAGCTACTAAAAAAGAAGGGATATTGGTTGGGGAATAATTCTAAAAACTTCACTAAAAAAATTGCTTTATAAAAACATCATGTCCAGAAATACTGAAACCTTTCTTTCTAAAATCTAATGAAAGATTTAGAAATACTGTAAGTTATTATTTATCCCATTATTTTCTATTCCACTTATAGTAATAATGATAATAATAATCCCTTTATAAGAGACTTAATTTACTTTAGTGTAACTTTCTTGTGGTTCTACCTTTGACAATTGCTTGTCATATTTTGGGATAAACTGTAGTTCTTATAAGAGAGAATTCCAATTCTCTTTGTGGCTTAAATTCCTTTACCTGGTAATAATTAGGTCAATAAAATAAAGAAAAATTATCTCCTCAATCTAATTTTTGGTAATTTGAGGCACATCATTTCTTAAATCATTTCTCAAATGATTTTTTTCAGTTTAATCCTGAAAAAAATCATTCTTTCATTCAGCTCCTCAGTTACCTTTCTCTGGGACCCTACAATGATGAAATACTGGTCTAGGAGCTGTGGTTTTTCCTAAAACACCTGAAGAGTCGGACTAGAACTGTGTCCAGCCTTGATCTGAATGTTTGCAGACAATTTTCTGATTCTGAATGGAGACCTACCTCAGATTGCAAGAACAGCTAGGTATAAAGCCCCCCATCCTTCAACGCTGTGCTTATCGCATTTTCTTTTACAGTATGCCAGACATTGTGATCAACACTGAAAAATTAGAAGCAAATAAGACTGAGCCTCTGCTTTGGAGAAACCACAAGGGAGAGAGACAAGGTGTCCTGGTGCGGCAGTCTGTGGCTGGATGCCATCATAGGGAAAGATCAGTGACATGCAGGACACTTGATGTACACTCACTTTGATCCTGCAAATGCCACTGTAAGGTCTGTACTGTTCTCATTTTATGGGTTAGAAAATTGAGATTCTGTGAAGTATGTTATGACTTACAAACATGGGAGCACGTGTTCTTTCCAGCACATTCTTTTTCATCCTGGGTCCTCACCTATCTGGATAGGACTCTAGGGTTAGCGTGAAGGAACTGAAGTGCAGGCTGTAATTTTTCCAGGGTTTTCATGCAGGATTGGAGCCTCAGTCTCCTTTAAGTCCTCTGTGTGGATCAGATGATGTGCTAACTGGCTGCGCATGTGTTACTTGGGTGTATGTGTGGACTGCAAGGAGCCGGTAGGGATTTTATCAGGCTTGTGAATCGCTACCCTCACTCATTTATTTGTGGGGTGTGTCATGCTTCCCTCAATGAAGTTGTTTTTCCTTTCCTTCTCACAGTTTTTGTGTTGAGAAGGGTGGGTAGAAATGTCCTGTGCTGGCTACAGCAATGTGCTCAGGTGTAATTTGACCACAAATTCTTATGCTGATTTTGTTGCAAACATCTGAGGTGTAACCTTTCATATGCTATTTCTGTTTTTCTAGAATTATGACATTTTCTTAAAGATGGATAGGCAGGGAAATCATCTGAGAAACCCGAGGATAAGAGGCCAAATAAATGCTTAATTTGAATGAACCTTGTCTTAGTTACCTTCCTCATTGTTGGGCCAAAATACCCTGCACCTCCAGGGAAGTAAGGAGAAGTTTATCTTGGCTTACAGCACAGGCTTCTGTCCATAGTCAATTGGCTTCAAGGTAAGGAAGCACGGCGAGGGCCACGGCAAAGGACCACATGGTGAGCAGGAAGCAGAGAGAGAGTCCAGACAGGAGCTGTAATCCACTCATTCTCCTAAGGTCACACTGACCATACAGGAGGCTTTAGGGACACATTTAGATTTAAACCATAGCAAACCCCAAAAGGTACAAGACCTGTGCTTGAGTCACTTTTGTAGGTGACCCAGGTATTAGAGGGTCGAGGGAAATGAACAAGTCAGAGTAAAAAAATTTGCATATGCATATACATATGTGTATGTATCTGGATTATGGAGCACACATACCTTGTTGTACATTCTGAAACCTATTTTATCAGTTCAAAACCTACTTCTTATTTTAAGAGAAAAAAACAGAAAAATTAGAAAGCAATCAAGCAAACAAACAAAAACAACAGCAAAAGTCAAACAACAGTAACAACAAAATAGTGAAATAGGATTTCAAAATAAGATGATAGGAATTTAACCATGGTTATTATACTGCATGTTGTTATTTTCTTTTTTTGTTTAATTTTATTTTGAAAGTAGTAAAATACAACAGAACAAGACAGAATAAAGCCAACTAAGATCATACAGTGAAACTGGTACAGAACTTCACAGCAGGTTACCGGGATAACAGTAATAGGTATCACAGTATATTTCGTTATCTTTACAATAGTTGTTCTTTCAATCACATATATCAAAATAAAATGAAGTACAGAGCATTATAGAACTTATCAAAAATAGAATATTGAATAGAGCAGTACCATTAATCAGAATAGAGCAAAACAGTAAAAATATTTGCCTTCAAAGAGATGGTAGAAGGAAGTCCCCCTTATTTGCTATGGTCAACCTCCCAGGAGATGCTCAGATTTCTGGTTCCCATTTGTTAAGGGGTGGGGGTAAGGGAAGTGGGATGTTTGACTGCACCAGTTGGTTCACTATTGCTTAGCAAGTAGACAGGCTGGTTGCTTGGTTTCCCAGCTTCGTAAGTTCCAACATGGTGTGGATCTCAGGAGACACTGGTGGTTCTCCCCCTGGAAGGGCCGAAGTCTTGCATGTTGTTATTTTCTAGAATAGTTGTTTAGGTTACCAGATGCAGGTATTCAAAATTGATCAAACAATGTGATTTCCTTTTCAGCAGTTTCTTTTCTTTTCACTATATCTATTGTAACTTTTGGATCTATTTATTTCATTTTTTATACTAGCGGGACCATACAGTGTTTACATATGTGAGCTTGATTTCACTTTTGAGTATGGTATTTAGTTGCATCCATTTACCTATAAAAGTCTCAAGTTATCCTTCTTTATAGCTGACTAGTAATTCACTGTATAAAAATACCACTTTTTTTTTTTATCCATTTCTCAGTTGATGGGCATTGGGTTGTTTCCAAGATTTAGCTATTACAAATTGTGCAGCTATAAACATGGGTGCACATAGATTACTGTGGTATGATGTTTTCCATTCTTCTGGGAAAATACTCAGAAAGGGGATAACTGGGTAAAGCCTACTTTTATTAGCTTAAAAGGGTAAGTTAAAAATATTAAGTTATAAAAGGGTTTTTACATATTTATTTATTTATTTATTTATTTATTTTTGGTCTTTTTCCTTTTTTTACCGGTACCAGGGATCGAACTCACGACTGCCTGCTTCCAAGGCAGGCGCTTATGCCGCTGAGCTAAATCCCCAGCCCCTTACATATTTATTGATAAATGGATCCTCTATGTAATTTTGACTCCCAATAGCCTGAGATCCCCTGGAAATTTTCCACTGACCAGGAGCACTCATGTATCTGAAACCAACCTCCCTGTCTTCTCCCTCCTCTTCCCTTCTCTATTAAATGTCTCTATTTTTCCAATCGTCATTGCCTGAAATCTCGGTCTCCTACTCAATGAATCACTTCTTATTTTTCTTATTACCAGATCTGTGGCCTCGCCCTGTCATCATAGAGATAAGATTTCTTCCTGGACCTCACTGAAGAGTCTGTCAGATCATATAAATCACCCTCAGCACCTGGGGAGGTCTGGGGTGAGCTCTGTGTATGAAGCAGTCAGCCCACCACATCTGTTCAATGGTTTGGATCTGGAACATCCCCAAAGACCTATGTGCAGCAGGCTTGGTACCCAGCTGGTGGCACCAGTGAGAAGTGGTGTAGGCTATAGCAGGAGCCCAGCTGGAAGAAGTAGGTTAGGATACCATAACCTTGAAGGTGTGCTGGGGACTCTGGTCCCTTTGCATTTCTTTTTTTCTTTCTTTCTTTGCCATCTTGAGGGGAACAGCTTTGTTCTGCCATGCATTTTCCCCAGGATGCACTGCCTTGCCATAGTCTTAGGAACCACTGGACCAAGCAACCATACACCAAAAGCTCTCAAGCTGGGAACCAAAATAAATCTGTTTTCCTTTTAACTTTCTTATGTCATTTTGTCATAGGGAGAAGGCTGCTGTACACAATCTATGTCACCAAGAACAGAGTGACCTGCCAAATTTTGGTCTCCTTGCTCACAAGAGAGCTTGAATAATTGGTATCATGGTGTTCTTCTACTTATGCTGCATTTGTTTACTGGAGCTGGGGGAGAATCTACTTTTCTGGATGTCATATGGCTTGTCTTATTTGTGCCTCTGATCCTCATAGAGTGCTGTGAGATGAAAATGTTGGTGAACACAAGAAAGGTGTGGTTGGCTTTGTCTTGGTCACTACTGATACCATAGGCTGTTGGCAGTAGACAAAAAAAAAAAATCGACTCAAGATCACCTGGTATTAGTTTATATACAGGAAAATGTAAAATGTAAATGACTTGTTCAAGGTTATCCTCTGAGTAAACAGTTGATTTAGGAATCCAAATGCCTGTCCTCTGATTTTAAAGCTGGAGTTTGGCTTATGTAATACACAATTTTGCTTGCATTCTAAATTGCAGTGGTGGGGGAGCGTGATGTACAATGAGTGATGGAGGAGAGGAATGCATGTGTGTGAGTGCATGTGTGTGTGTGTGTGTGTGTGTGTGTGTGCAAAAGATGGAAGTGTATAGGATTTCTATTAATCTCATGCACATTCATCTATAGACTTCTGTAAGAGCAGTCTTCAAAACTGTAAACACAACAAAACAAAACAAAAGTGTAGAGTCAGGCTTTCATTCGCAGTTTGCTTTTGGCTGCACATATCAGGTACCAGAATCACCTCGTCCTTTCTCTGTTGGCTCAGCCCCATGCGAGGCACCGAGGTGAGGGCTGGAGATTAGGATTCCATCCAACTTGCATCTCAGCCCCAGGGAGTTCAAAGTCTTTCACATTCATCCACATGAGACTCATTAAGGAATCTGTTAGAAAGCCTGATTTATTGAACATTCAAGAGCCAAAAGGAGCTAACTATACATTATTTAGTTCAAATCACAATTTCAGAGCTAAAGAATGGGGTGCAGCAAGGTTCTGGGCCTTCTGAATGTCTCTTTCTTCTTCATGCTTGACCCTAAAGTAGAACCCAGATCTCCTGACTTCTAGCCTTTCAGTCAGCTGCAAAAATGACTAGACAGTTTTCTGCAGAAACTCCAGAGTCACATGGGAAACTTAAAGAAGAAAGGAAAAAAAATACAAACAAACAAATGCACATAACTGGCCCTGGATGCTGAGCTGGGTGAGACCTGGACATCTTTCCTTCCGTTCCCTTCCCTTCCCTTCCCTTCCCTTCCCTTCCCTTCCCTTCCCTTCCCTTCCCTTCCCTTCTTCCCTCCTTTTCCCTTCTCTTCTTTTCCCTTTTTTCTTTTAATGCTTCCTCTTCACCAGGGAATTCCACTGTACAGCCTGAGCTGAGAATGACTGTCCCAGGAGCTGTCAAGGGTACAGAGCAGGAAAGACATCGCCTGGCCTCTGAGGCCCCATTCTGACTGGAGGAGAGGCTTGTGTCGAGGAGGAAGGTCTGCATGGTGTGGCTGCATCAGCATCTTAATATGCAGGAGAATCGCTTGCATTTGAATCTTGCCAATGCTTTCTGTAGTGTTATAAATTTTTATTTTGTTGTTGATTATTTCCTGGAATTAAGCTGATCTTATTTATATGCCTGTATTATATCTTAGTTTTAATAGAGAACATAATTGAATTTCAAGGATAAAGCTTATGTTGTTTTCCAAGGAAATTTACTTTCTTTGATTTAATTGTAACATTGGAAAATTAGTTCTGGCTAAATGTATTGTTCCAATTATAAATTAAGAAAATAAGAGCAAATCAATATTTTCAAATTATGAGGAGACCAAAACCTAAGGATAAAAAAAGAAACAAAGAAAACAAAACAAAACAAAAAAACAAGTGAATGAGATGAATCAAATATGCAAGCTTAAATGTCATTTGGTTTCTCTTATATGAGAAGCCCAAAGTATAAATAAACTAAATTAAGTAAAATAAAGATCTATAAATATAAACAATAAATAAATGTAATAAAACAAAATATAAAGATAGACATTAGGAAACAAGGAGATCTTCTGCAGAAGAGGAGAGCAGGAGATGGGGAAGGGAGGAGAGAAGAGCGGGAAATGGCACACACACAAAAATAAGACCTATTACGTCCATGGACAAACTCCCCGCAAATGAATGCATCATTATGTTCTGCAGACACGGTCTAATCAAAAGAAAAATTAAAACAAAGAAAACAAACATCTTTTCCTTCATCTACCCCCATCTTCATGGTAGCTAAACAAAATGCAATAGACTGTGGCTTGCAGGTAACTGAGATTTATTTCTCAGAATTCTAGAGATTCAGAAAGCCACAGTCAAGGCCTTGGGAAGCTGAGAAGGGCCTGCCTTCTGGTTCACCAATAGCGCCTTCCTGCTGAGGACCCGGCTCCTACTATGCTGGGCTTAGGATTTCAGCATATGACTCCTTCTGGGAGAGCAGCACTGACATTCAGTACACAGCACCAACTGGATAGTTCTTAAATCAGTCACTTTCTCTTCCTTTCTCCCAGCATGAGCTGGGAATTTGGGCAGGCGATGGAGAGGTGCTTGCTTCCCTGTGGATCCCTCGCAAACATGGGAGGCGCGAGCTGCCCTTGGTTGTCATGAGCTCTTGGGCTCATCCTGTTCCCACCAGGCTTTCTTCAGACTGTTCATATTTTGAGCTCTAACCAGCTGCCTTCTGTTTTCTCATTTAAACTTCCTTAGTTTACATAATTTTATTGACCTCACTAAGGAAATCCAGGGCCAAGAAAGCTACCCACGAGCAATTTTAATTTAGAAATTAAAGCTGTCTGATGAATGTAAGCATCCGCAGTGCTGATTTCATTAGTTTCTAGGTTAATTGCATGTCTTACAGTTAAGACTAATTGACTTATGATAAAGCCAGCCCGTGGGTTCAGTGGTAAATCTGTTCTACCCAATGTTTTTGAAGCTGGCAACTTTGCGTGTGGTTTGCTACCCCAAACTGGTGTGGTGTGTGAGATTGAAAATGGGTCTTCTTTTGGACACAGCTCTCTAAACAGCTCATGGGTGATGGACACAAAAAGATCTTCAAAACTGTGCTACTATAACAAAGTATTCCATGAGCTTTAACATTGTACTAGTAACAAATGTTACTAAAGGAAAACCAGAGCCCTTTGTGTTGATACAGAATAACAGAATGAAACAGTGATGAGAGACTGATTTTTTCCTACTTTTGCTGTGATGTCAGTGGCTGCTGTACTAGTGACAGTGAGGTACACACTGGCTGGGAAACAGAGAGACAGAGACAGCTCTGGAAGCCTGGAAATTAACATGAGACCCCAGAAGACCCGAATCTTCTGACAGATGTCACACTCCCTATGAGTTTTCTGAAATTTCAGTATTGAAAACAATTTAAAAATAAGCTTAAAATCTTTAAAATTTGTATCTGGCCATTCCCTATAATAACCACATTCAATGGCACAGTCATTTACAATTTGCAGCGTGTTCTTACTTTGTTATTTTGTCTGGCTCTTTCAGTGTCTCTGATGTAATCCCTCCTGTTTTCCAGAGAAACAGACTGAGCCTCAGAGACCTGAATGATGAATTAAGGCTCTGAAGGTCAGCAGGGTCATAGATGGAAGGCCACTGTCTCCTGTGCTGGACCAGGGTGTTTCTCACCGTTCTGCATCTGGGGCCACTTTGGGTGGTTTTAATCCCTGCTGCTTTCAAAGTGTTCCTGGTTCAAGGGTAGCAGCATGGTTAGGGCCTCCCACAACTGCCCATGGGGAGCTTTCTCCTGCTGTCTAAGGCACAGAGCTCAGGCTTGGCTGAGCAATAAGATCTCTGAACCTGAGCCTCCCTCTAAGAGACTCTTGATTTAATTTGCCTAGGATTCTGATTTAATTTGGCCTGAGCATCAATAGAATTAAAAAAAATCTCCCTGGGTGACTTTGATGTACGTCTCTGATGTGCATGGGGTCTATAGGAATGGCTCTGTGTGCTGGGGACAGGGTGTGTGTGTGTGCCTGTGTGTGTGTGTGTGTGTGTGTGTGTGTGTGTGTGTGTGTGTGTGTGTGTATGAGCACTCATGACCACCAGAACACTTGTAAGGCTTTAAAGAATATCCCACAGAACACTGTGGGTGTGTCAGAGCTAGTGTCATTGCTGGGGTAGTGGGGTTCAGTGAGAGGAGTAGGGGAGAGAAATTTGTATTTTGAGAAAAGGATTTCTTTTTAGACGATTTTTGCCTCTGCCTGCCTTCTGCACCATAAAAATACGCCTGGGATTGTGGGGCTGTAAGGTGCCCTCTTTGGTTAATCAACATGCAGATGTTTGGTTTTGCTTTTGTTGCACTGCCTCAGTGCTCCAGGCAGGTAATTTTTCATCCCGAGGGCCCAGGGGACAGGGAGGGGCAGAATGAACCACGCAGTGACTCTGCAGGAGGACTGGACTTCAGGAAAATCCTTCAGAAAGTAAGGAGAGATTACTGTGCCTGTCAAGTTATTTTGCTCACCAAAGGCTTTTAGGATCTGCGTCAGGGTCAGTCCTTGCCTGACTGAATATTGATACTCATTGCCTGAATGAATATTCAGTGCTGGGCACTGGCTTAGGCACAGAGTGGGAATGGTGACAAAACAGGTAAATGCTAACTCGTGGTTCCAGGAAGCTCTGTCGTCTTGGGGTCAGGACGCTTCTGAGCGCCCTTGGAGGCTCAGCGCCTGTGGTTGAGGGTGGCTGGCTACTTCCATCTGTGACGTCCCAGGGATCCAGCACCTGCATTGTCAGGCAATAGAACGAAGCGGCGACGCTCAGCTAAGGGAACTTTCCTGCAGCCCGCCAGCACCACGGAGATGCAGACTTAACTATGCAACGGGCTCCCTCTACTGGGAAGACGCCGTTACTGCGTTCCAAAAGCCAGGTGAAAGCTGGGGTGGCAGGGTGATTTCCCCAACCTGATGCGCGCCCCGGAAATCACAGGGCACTCTGGCACTCTTTTTTGTTTCACCCACAACTTTTTAAAAAAGCATTTCTCTCTTTTGACTTTATGTAACCCTCACATCTACCTTTGCAGCCATTCACTACCAGTGCGGACTCCGGGGTGACAGCCCTGGGACGCCTGTCCCCGGGTACAGGTGCTGGCGGAGTTCCCATGAGTGGCACAGAGAGCCCTGTGGGTGGTGGTGGTGGGCGCTCTCTCTGTGTATCCTCTTTCAGTGCCGCTTTTGAAAAAGCTTTTTCCTTGCAGCTCCCTGCTCCAGCCCCTCAGGCCCTTCAGCCCAGACAGAGACAGCAACCCTGGCCTGCCTATCTGCCCCTGGCTTCACGTCCTGGCCGGAAATGTCTCACTGTGTTCATTTCCCTCACTTGCCGCAGAGCCCAGACCCTGTGCTCATCTCTCCGTAGGTAGCTGGGGCGCCGGAGTGGACAGTGCATGCT